GTGATGACTAGCTGCCTTCCCTCTAGTCTTACACTGCTAAATTAGGGACGGCTAGCACAGATAGCCCTCGTGTAGCTTTGCTCGAAATTCCAAAACAAACAAACAAACAAGCAAAACTTGGCATCTGGATGTCCCAACATGACAATGATGCAAAGTATACATCAACATCTATATGAGAATAGTTAAAGAAGAATAACCTCAAGGTTCTGGAATGGTCTAGTCGAATCCCGATAAAAATCAGATTGAACATCTTTGGTATCAGTTCTGTGCGTGAGGGAAAAATAAACAGAAATAATTATGCGTTGAAGAATGGCCAAAAATCGCTAAAGAATCATGATAAAAGCTCATTGGTAAATATCTTAAACGTTGAAACGAATTTATCATTGCTAAAGGTTCCTCAACTAGCTATTAATTTAATTTCCTTTGTCAGTTTTGTTTTGTTTTAATTATGCACAAAGCTACACAAGGGCTATCTGTGCTCTGCCCACCATGGGTATCGAAACCCGGTTTCTAGCGTTGTAAGTCCGCAGACATACCGCTGTGCCACTGGGGGGCTCCTTTGTCAGAATATGAATATATATTTTAATTAGCAAGTTCGGAATTTTGCAAAATAATAAATAAAAAATGTTCAAATAAAAAAATTGAACAAATTTCTTTTTTTGGAAGTTTTTACCTCATTCACAAAAAACACAACCTCTGGTGAAAGCAATGTTTGTTCTCTAATTATTTGTTTTCAAGAAATGTCTCGAAATTATACGTTTCAGTTATTTACGACAACTGTAAATAATATTATACAATTAAACATACACGTATATATTATTGAAATTATAGCGGTCACCAATTCGTACTGATCTCAGGGGTGGAGATCCAGATTTCAATCTGTGCGATACCGCAACACATTATTGCACAAACTTAAAGTTCTGGTTGCATTATAAGAGTGACAGTCAATCCCTTAACCTGGATGGTGAGTGGTATAGTGCTCCTGACTGGCTATTTTACCTCTTGTCGGTAGTTCTGACAGATAACCCAAATAGAAAATACAGTTTATAATCAACGTTGTTCCGAGGTTGACATTCAGTTTAAAACACTTACAGAAATTTCCTTTTCGCCAGTTCTGAATATCAAATTAGATAAAAGTACGAGGAGCGTATATGCTAAATACGGGGAGTATACGTTAAAACAAATCTTAAGACTTTTAAGCGGTCATTTTTCGACTGATTCCAGGGCGGAAATGTCACACTGCTTAGCGTACCAGGCTGCTGGTCAAAAGATCCAAGGTTTGAGCATCGTATGCTGCTGAACACGCATTGTAATTTCAACTGCAAGTGCATTATAACCGTGACAGTCAAACCCGCTACTTGGTTAAAAGTAGTCGCTGCTGACTGGTGCCCTCCCTTTGGTCAGTAGGTCTAAATTAGGATGACTGTGCTTTAACTCTAGAAGTTTATGACCTGGTGATTTAAGCCGGTCAGGTTGAAAACGTCAAATATCGACTGATCCATTTGAAAAAAAGTTTCAGAAAAGCGAAACTTTCTCATTAATTCCTTTGATGTTCAGTACGTATATCATTATAATGCTTTTATTACATAAATACTGGATTTACTAAGCCTAAAAATTTGACTTGTCTCCTTAGATCTTCACTCTTAGAAGATGACGGTGTAGACGAAAATATTCCCTTGGAAGCTAGATTTGAACCGCGCCATCTATACCGACTTCGGGCATGTTTCTTTGACCCAAGTCTCCTGCCTAAGACATCAGGTGAAGTAAAGTACTTTCAAAAGAAATATATTTCGTTTCATTTGATGATATATTTTATATTCCGTTAAAAGCTTTACTATGAGCATTTTTGTGTGTCCCGGTGTATTAATAAAAGTAGCATTTCGCCTTTGTTAACTTCTTACGTAAAAAGGCGTTTTTAAAATCTTGATCATATTCGGTACCGTTTTTTATCTTTAAAATGAAATTTATTTTGAAAATAGAAATATCCATAAACTTCGAGGTGTTCGTAATAGATTACTATTAGTTTGCGAAAAAGATATCTGCTTTTTTCTGAAGTCGGAAAAGCTTTCGCCAGGATCGATCATAGTACTGAAAAGCATGAGCTAATTTTACCTAAAGTAGGCTTAGCTTACGTTAACTCTACAAAATAGGCTTAACTGGCATATACATTAGCTCTTTTCAGAGCAGGATTAATTTATTTTAATCGTACTTAAAGTAGGCTCTAGTAGAATTAATCTTTTTTAATCTTAACTGACATTAACCCTACTTAAAGTAGGCTTAACTAATAATATATCTGTTTTTCGTAGGGAAACTTGGAGTTATATTTCTGTAATTAACCCAATAGTGAGTACTCTGTTTCTCTGCATGCACGCAAAAAACACACACATATGCTATATAAACCAATTTTATTTTGTATAAACAGCTAATCGACGCATCACTCGTCATCAAACTAGAAGTCCTCCACTTCCACTGGAATCGTTTGTGTTAGCTGTTAACAGAGTTATGGGTTCTAAGCGGTACCAGAAGACAGCAATGTGTTTCTTTCATCAGGTACGTAGTAATCGCCCTAAGCCTATCAGTACGATGTTTCTTTCATCAGGTACGTAGTAATCGCCTTAAGCCTATCAGTACGAGTACGAGTTGTATATACGATAGTAATCGCCTTAAGCCTATCAGTACGATGTTTCTTTCATCAGGTACGTAGTAATCTCCTTAAGCCTATCAGTACGAGTACGAGTTGTATATACGATAGTAATCGCCTTAAGCCTATCAGTACGAGTACAAGTCGTATATACGAACCTACAGAATATATGAAACATATTACGCATCGACAACTCTGCACAATTACAACCTCGTCTCTCTCTTTATCCAAACATAATGTATTGAAAGTTAAAAACCTGCGTAGTTATATAGAGTTAAATAATCATTCTGTCTGAAAATATTTGGATTTGTTTATTTGTGTATCTGTTTTGATTAATCCAGTACCCAACTTGACACAGGATGACATGAGGGGGGTTGCCCCCCATATAATTTCATATTGATAAAATCCTTGAAAATAGTATGATTTTCTTTTCAGTACTGATACGGTGATACTTGTATGTATTTTTATTACACTTTTAATGTTTATTATGTTAACAAAATAAAATAAAAGCACAATTTCCCATCCTTTGTTACAAACGAGATTTTATTTCACTCGTCCAATAGAGGGGGTACTCCAGCTAGTTTAATAAACTTTTGAGGGGGTATTCCAGCTAGCTTAATGAACTTTTGAGGGGGTATTCCAGCTAGCTTAATGAACTTTTGAGGGGGGTATTCCAGCTAGTTTAATGAACTTTTGAGGGGGTACTCCACCTAGCTTAATGAACTTTTGAGGGGGTACTCCAGCTAGCTTAATTAACTTTTGAGGGGGTACTCCAGCTAGTTTAATGAACTTTTGAGGGGGTACTCCAGCTAGCTTAATGAACTTATGAGGAGGTACTCCACCTAGCTTAATGAACTTTTGAGGGGGGTATTCCAGCTAGTTTAATGAACTTTTGAGGGGGTACTCCACCTAGCTTAATGAACTTTTGAGGGGGTATTCCAGCTAGTTTAATGAACTTTGTGTTCTTCACTTTTAACATCGAATTTATCCACGTTCATATTTAACATGTTACACCAAGTGTAAGGTATTATATACACATTGTTTAGACTAATAACTAGTCTTAATCAAGGTTTACTAAATTCTTAGGTCCAAGTTGCGTGTTATGGTTAACTGACCTTCGTTCCGTACAATTAAATAAATTAAAGTCGATCGAATGAAAACTAAATAAACTTCACGTAGAATCAAATATCTTACACAGGTGGGAGAATTTTCTGGTAGGGAGAACTTTATTACCTGGGAGGATGTACTGAACTATTTGCAACAGCGGATGAAGAAAGCCGAACCGTGGCTGAAACCACCTCTAAGCACGAACCATGAATATAAATACTTCCCTCATACCCGGGTAAGCCATGAATGCCAACTTTCACGTGATTATCACGCGCCATTTTAGAGATTCTAAATTTTCATTTGTCAAAATTATATATATATATATTGTATAGTGCAGAGCCGTAAGAAGTGGTAAGGCCAGTCAGGCCATGGTCTGACCACTTTTTCATGGCATGTATAGCTACAACTTGTGTATTAAAACTTGCTTCTTTTAATTCAATACATTACGTTGTGTGTATGTAGTATCTGTAGTTAAAATTGCTCAAGATTCAATCTCATAGCATTAAAGTTTGAAACATTTTCTGGAAAGCATGCCCCCAGCCCCCCCCCCTAGTAATGGTGTGCTTTGCACAGATCGTGTGTCACATTGTGGTAATGGCCCGACCACTCCAAAACTCTTTCCCTCGTTGAGTTGAAAAACGTGTTCCTACGCCACTGGACTACACAGTAAACTGTACAGGAACAAAAGAAGTTCTTCAAGAAAATTCTAAGCTGTATTCAATTAATATTCGAAAACAAAACGATTTCAGTAACATAAATCATTAAAAAGTTAAAGAGGCCAACATTCACGAGCCAATTCAACACGTCTCCACCACACAATCCCAACGTGGCCAATTTTGACACTGCTTGGGACCTACAAGAAGGTAAGTATCTTTGTACCAAATCCCATGTAAGTTGGCCAAAATATGGCGGAGTAATTGTAATAAAAATAAAATAAATAATCATGCTTTTGTGGCATCTTGGCCCCCTATAATTACTAAAGATGGTCCAACATTTTTGTTGGAGCCTGTAGAAGAGTATCGTTGCACCGAATCCCATATAAGTTGATCAAACTATTGCTGAGTAATTGACCTACTAACCCCCCAAATTATGCTTTTTTGTGAGCTCTGACCTTCCCCCCCCCCCAAAAAAAAATATTCAAAATGGACAGGTCCAACTTTTTTGGAAGTCAATGTGTTGAGCGCATGATAATTTATATTTGTGCCATTTTTCGTCTTGATTTCAGTAAATATGACCGCTCAGGAGCCCAAAATATACATTTTTGAGTTGTATGACTTTTGACTTGATAAAATGCTTAAAAAGGTCTACGCCAAAAAAAAAATTAAAAGACCGTCTGGGCGTATTAGACCAATGTATAACCCTACGAGGTTTCAAGTCAATCCGCCAGGAAATGACGGAATGGGGATCAATTGAAAAGTGTCCTGAAGAAGACGAAACAATAGAAAAAACAGTAATTCTTTCTGTTGAGGCATAATAACAGAAAGAAAAGTGTGTCGTTCCTTCTAAAGTAAAATATACGGTATCCAAGCTCACTCAACTGTTAAAAACTCCGAAGTGTTATTTTCTCCTTAGGATCATCTTTCTTGTTATTTTCTCGATAACGAACCATCTATAAAAGATATAACAACTCACTTCTTCATCCAATTGACATTATCATTTAATATCTAATAACAGAATAACTGTCTACGCTTTTTTTTTTTTTTTTTTTTT